TAAATTCTATTCTGGATTTAACAATAGCAAGAACATTTATTTACATTCTTAAATAACTGCTGTTTTATTTGTCTTTTAGGATTAAAAAAAAACTAAAACTTTTTATATTTGCAAAAAAAGTATGACATTTTCTTCTATGGGATGTTGATATTTTTGTAAATCAGTGAAACAAAGGACATTCTTTCCAACCAAATGACAAGAGATAAAAATCCTCAGAAATGATTGAGTGGCCTGCCTCTCAATCATTTCAAATCTCTTTTAATTTGTGGATTTTTCATTTAAAATAAAATAAGATTTAAATGTTAAAGCTGTTTTGCAAACGTCATAACAACTGTTTAATAAGAAAATTTGTGATCAGCCAGCAAGCTGCAATCCCTGCATTGCCACTAAAACATTGCAGGAGGAATGGGTCTTCTTATGGTTATTAGAATAATTGCACTTAAAGATCATTCTAACTAATAAAAATCTTCCTTATTTTCCTCATAATAAGCTGAATACCCATGAAATATATATTTAAAGTCTGACATTTTATCCTACAGCCACAAATGTAAAGGCTGCAGTACCGCTTAGCGTCGCGTGGTGGCGACAAAGGCTAACTAATACACACCCTTTCATTCATGACGATTCAAAAGTTGGGGGTTTATTTTTTTTAGGGTTTATTTCAGTTTCAGAATCAATTTATTTTGCAGTGAAAGATGCATTCTACTTGGAGGGAAACCGGTAAGCAGAATAAATGATATTTTTCAAACTTTCAGATCGAAATGACACGTTTTTCTTTTTAAAACGCTTTTAAAATCACTTTCTATGGACTGAATACAGCGCAGGGGTTTTATTTAGAGGGAAAACGCGTTTCCGGGGTTTGCTCTTCGCGCAGATTTCGCAGATTGACGCGCAGCCGCGTGCGTGTAGCTGCGCAACACTCCTCTCTCTCTCCCTCCCTCCCTCCCTCTCTCGCTCTCAGCATGGAAAAGTCACCGTAGCCTGACGTTGACTCTGCATCCAAACAAACTGCACTTTTCAGGCTGAAGGGGAGACATTGGAGAATGGATTCCTCCACCAACAGTTTGGGTGAGTGAAACAAACCAAACGCGCCGTTATTCTGCGCATTTATTCTGCGCATTTCTCTTCTGCTGCCATTAGTCGCAACTCTGAGGCTTTGTGTGAAAACTTCCCTCCTGTGTTGTGAAGTTCAGCTGAGAGTAAAACATCTAATCAGTCGGTCAGTGTTGATGGGAAACATCCAGGATTCTGATGTGAAGCTGATCTCAGGCGCTTAGATTGGAGTTTTTTTTTTTTTTCTTGTTGTTTTTGCGCAGTTCTGCCGCATTCTTCTGTGTTTTGATAGAGAGAAACAGGCAGGTTGGAACAGAGTCGCTGCTGAAAGCCCAGAATCATCAGTCGGACCATCGGTGAAGTGTGTGTGAGGACCGTGACGTGACCACGCTCCTCATGCGTGGGTGTGAGAGGGTGTGTGTGCGCGCGCATGTGGAGGGGCTGCAGACTTTTGGTCGTTTGCGCTTCTGCACGCGCCAGTTTGGTGTTAAAGGGATGAGTGTCTGATGGAGCGCAGTGCAGGCGGGCTCAGCTCAGGATGGTGGAAAGTTTTAGTTTCTCAGGTGGAGGATTCTGGGCTCTGGTCCATACAAAATGGATTTAGTTTTATTTTAGTTTTTTCTGTAGATAGTAGAAGGATAAAATAGTAGAAGAGTTTGCTTTGGCGTTTTTTTTTTAAAGAATATTTATTAATATTTTGAGTTGTGTCAAAATAGATTGGCATTTTTGTTTTATTATTTTCTTTGCATTGAATAAAATTTTTGTTTTTATTCATTTTTTGCAATGTAACTAGAAGGG